CTCTTCCGATCTTCGATATCAAAAGCAGCTTAAATGCAATAACCTTTAACAATGGTGAAACATAAATGAACAGGAAGGTGCGAAATCAATACAATTGTTTATTGTCTTCGATAAAGAACGGAATTTAGACGCGTATTTATAAAAACGCGCTTGATAGAGGCACCTTTCTGGAATTTTCGGCTCCATATCGATTCCGGTGCAGTCGCGAAATAACGATGGCCATGTTGCATCCATTCGTTATGAATTATAATAATGGACGCTATTGGAACCGAGGGTTCAAAGATCGGTCCGACTGGATTTCCATGTGAAACTCCGAAGTTGGAATTAGATGTGCAAAAAAATTTTCTTAAATTCCTTTATAAAGTAATATTGTTTTTTAATTCGTTTCATTTTATGGTTCAAATGGTCAACCATCTATAAATAGTAAAATATTTTTAGGAAACGCATGGACATTTAAAGGTAACACGCATCTTGATATTGTGATCTGCTATGTATGCTAGTTTGCATCATTGGAAAATTGGATGCTATATTAAAAGTTTTGATTTTAAAAAATAGATTTTCTTATTAAATTAATCATTTTAGTTCTTGAAAAAATTTTTTTATATCATGCATGTTATTTTTCTGTGTAATTTTTGAATAGTTAATTTAATAGAAACTAGATAATGGATCCATTATTGAATGATAAATTAAGTTTTAATATAAGAAATATACATATATAGCTTATTATATTATTTGAATTTTAGATTAATGCAATCAGACTTACTGCTACTTATTTTAAAGACCACGTATATAATAAAGGATACGTGCCACCTGTGCCACAAATAGATTAATAGTTGACATTTAATTTTTTTAATATATAGATTATATAAACATTATATAAATATTATTTATTTTTGATATTAGTTAAATATAAATTGTATAGGTAAGCTAGCATTTAACTTATTGCTAATGCATGTGAAAAATGTGGTTTTTTTCAATATATATTTTTTGTTATATACAAATCAAATAAAAAAATAATGTTTATCTATAAAAAAAATATATATATATAAATTTTAATATAAAATAAAATTTTCAATTTTTATATCTATATATTAACATAACAATTAATTTAAATATAATACAGATGGCATATATTCTTTATTTATATATAGTTATTTAAATAAAATATTATTATTATATTAAAACTTAATCTATTATTTAATAACAAGTTTAATAACAAGTTTATTATTTAATGTTTTGATATAAAATTATTTAAAAATATAATATTTTTAAAAGTTTTAATATATATAAATTTAATTTGCAAAAAAAAATTTAAATACTTAATTAATATTAATTTAGTTTTTTATTTTTTATTTAGTAGATAAATTTATTTGTAAGTAAAAAATACTTCAAACACAATATTTAATTAATAGACCTTGTGGCAAGTATTCACAAATCAATTACAAAAATTAATTAAAAAATTAAAATAATTAGCAAACATCCTAACAAAAGCTTAATTATCTTATATAGGGCTCCTAACAATATCACTTCAATACCTGTTCGATACCAGTTCGATACTCAATTTACTATAAATTTATATGAGTGGATCACAACCCATATATTAAATTTACTATAGATCGATACCATTTCGATACCATTTCAATATCAGTTCGGTACTTTTCGGAGCCTTAATCTTATATCTAAATTAAACGAATAATCAAAAGAGATAAAACAAAATTGAAAATAAAAATTCTAACAATTCTCAAGTTTATATTAAATTTAATAAAAAAAATATATTATTATTTTTAATAATATTCTAAACCTTATATAATTTTATATAATTCTGTTTAATTTCAATTTTTTAAAACTATATTTTACTATTTTAATAAATAAAA